TATATATATTTACATGTGTATGTGTGTGTATGATGGTGGTAAGCACTAGAATTTTGTGGGGGACTAGTGAGACATAGTCCTTGCTCTCAGGAAGTTCACATTTTACTAAGAAAACAAATTACCTGCATGATGAAGTTAAAGATGAACCACATTTTATTTTTGAGATTTGTTACCTTATAAAGTGCACTTCACTATTGAGAAACAAATGAGAAGAAACAAAACTGATTTTCAAAAAATCTTCCAAGATATTCAACAGTTGATACAGATTTAGTGTGAGCTCCTACTTTCTCTATAATGATATTTACAGTGGAATAGACTTCAAGGTCAGGGTAATTGCTTTCAGACCAAACCAGATCCTCACACATCAAGGAGTCAATTATGTTCACTCTACTCCATTGAAAGCAGGAAATTGGGAGTAATTTATTTTTAACAACAAAGGGTGACAAAGTAGAAGGCATCCAGGGGAAAGCAATCAGGAGGGTATGTGCTTCAGAAACCATGTCAGAGAAGAAATTATGAAAGGACTGCAGAGTTCTGGCCATAGAAGCCACCCAGCCACATAATGATTTTCTCAACATTTTGAGAGGTGCTCCCTCGAGAGCGATCCCACAAAGCAGAGGGAAGGGCAAAAGCTGTCGCAAATAGACTCATTCCAAAGCTCTTAAAAAGCAAAGCCCAAAATGACTAATGCTTCTAAGTTGAGGAGGGCAAATTTGGGTCAATACCCAAAATAACTTTTTTGCATTAATAGTGTGATTTATCTTTTAAAATAAGCATGCACTGATAAAATAATTAGCCAACAAATAGGACTAGAAAGCAAGAGAACAAGCTCTTCATTGCTGGAACCCTCCAGCCTAGTTATTGATGGATAAAATTATGGATGAAGCACATTGTTCAGAGATGTACCAGATAACTGCAAGTTCTGTATTATCTTCTGTACCACTCTGACCACCATATACAAACACAAAATAAACAAATAAGTAAATAATAATTAGAGAAAATTGCACACAAGAGCTAGAGAGATAGCTCAATGGTTAAGAACACATGCTGCTTTTCCAGAGAACCCGAGTTCAATTCCCAGCACCCACATTGGGCAGCTCACAGTCACCAGGAGCTCCAGCTCCAGGGGCTCTGATGCCCTGTTCTGACCTCTGCAGGCACCTGCACACATGCAGCAGACACACAGACACATACATGTAAGGAAAAATAATAAAAATGAATCTTTAAAAAAGAAAAGAATGGGCACAGGGTACAGAAGATGAATGAAGAGTTTTACATAAACAGGAATTCATACTAAGAGATGATCAAGAGAACTGAGATCACATGCCTGCAGACTCTATACAGATCTTGAAGAGGGCATCAGATTTCCCACCCAAAGTGGGATGAGGATTCAAGAGGTTTCCTGTGAAAACTGACTCATAATCACCTACTCACCATATTTTGTTCACATTTAGGCTTCACATAGTATTCTAATATTATTAAATGAGAAATATGATTAGGCTCATAAAATTTTTTATGTTGCTTGAAATTAATGTACAAATGCAATTACATATGTCATAGAGTAAATTATGGAGATGCTTTGTATGAAAATCTGAGACTGCTCACCAGATGCCAAACTTGTCAATCATATGAGTGAGCTGCTGGACTGAGTCAACAGCCAAGATTCTCCCAATCCCTTTAATTTTTTGGAGACAGGATTTCACTATGTAGCCCAAGTTGGCATTGGATTCAAAATCCTCTTGCCTCAGCTTCCCAGGCTTAGGGATTACAGATCTAGGTATATAATACCCAGTACTGAACCAACATCTTGATGTTGATCTCCTGAGCAACTTCAAAAGAGTTTTAATTTTTCGTATATGAGTGTTTGCCTGCATGTATGTAAGTGTGCCCATGTGTGCAACACCTGAGGAGGCCATAAGAGAATTTCAGCCCATTGAATTGGAGTTACAGATGGTTGTTAGCCACCATGTGGGTTCTGGGAACCAAACCTAGGTCCTCTACAAAAGCAGCCAGTGCTCTTAACTGCTTAGCCATCTTTTCAGTTCTGTTTCCAAATTCTTGATCCAAGAAACTGTTAAATATGATGCATCTAATTGATTTCATTGATGTTTTAAGCCTCAACATTTCAAAAAATTATTATATACCATTACTATGGACCTCCTCAAAGAATAATGCTTTAAATGCTTAGAGTAAAATGCATGCAACTACAATTAACCTCATCAAGACATTTCTCACATGCATGAGGCCCTGAGGCTAACCTAAATGGTATCTCTAGATGTTTGACTTCTAGGTAATTCCAGGTCTTGTCAAGATGACAATCAATACTAACAATCATATATATAAAACTTCTTTCTAAATGAAATTATACATTCTTTGACCACTTACTGTCCTCCAGGTTCATCTGTGTTGTCATTTATGACAGTATTTCCTTTGTTTTCAAAGTTGAATAGTGTTCCATTGTATGTGTGTATACAGACACAGAAACACAGTGTACATTTTATTTATCTCTTCATCTGTTGATGTTGACTTAGGCTGATTAGAATTCTTGGTTACTGTGAATAATGATACAATGAACATGGGAGTGCATTAAAACTCTTCAGCATGGGACTGAAGAGATGGCTAAACAATTAAGAGGTAGAGAACCCAGGTTTGGTCCACATGGCAGCTAACAACCATCTGTAACTCCACTGCCATGATATCTGATGCCCTCTTGTGGTCTCTACGGGTATTGCACACATGCAGTGCATTTAAATGCAGACAAAACATTCATATACATAAAATAAAAATAATGATCTTTTTTAAAAACCTTCAACATAATGTTCTCACATCCTTTGGGTATATATCCAGTAGTTCCAATGCTAGATCATTCCCACTATCTTTTTTTTTTTTTTTGAGAAACCTCTATACATAATTGTCCATAATGGTTTTATCAATTGATTTCCATACCATGGTATTCATGGGCTGCATTTTCTCCATAACCTCCTAATGCAAGTTACTTTTCATCTTTCTTAACAATTCTAATAGCTGTGAGGTAGTCTTTCATTGTGATTCTAGTTTGCATTCCCTGATTATTAGTGAGAGTTATTTTCATAACTTTCTAATTGTCAGGAGTAGGTATTCAGATCTTTATCTATTTTTTTAATAAGGTTGTTTTCCAAGTGGATTGAGTTCCCTATGTATTGAGTTACCTGTATATGTTGATATCAACTCTTTATCAGATGTATGGTTTACAAATACTGCCTCCCACTCCACAGGTTATCTCTTTGCTTTGTTGTTTCCTTTTGTCTGGTGGAATTTCATTCATTTTCTTTGCTTTTGTTGCCTGTGCTTTTGTGTTTAGATTTTTTAAAAAAACAAAACCTTTGCTTAAACCAATATCATAGAGATTTTTTTCTGTTATCTTCTAGTAGTTTTACAGTTTCAGGTTTTATGTTTTAAGTTTGTAGTCCATGTTGAGTTAATTTTTGTAGGTATGAGATGAAGGTCTAATTTCCTACCTCTCTGTGTGGATACACAGGTTTTTTTAGCACAATTTATTGAAGAGACTATCATTTTCCTATTTTCAGGGTATCTTTGTCTCTATACATTTTTCCTTCAGTTTTAAAAAAATATATTAGTTATTATTTTTATGTGTATGTGTGTATTGCCTGCATGTAGGTAAGTGCACCCATGTCGTGAAATGCCCGCAGAGCTCAGAAGAGGCTGTTTAATCCCCTGGAACTGGAGTTATGGACAGTTGTTAGCTGTCATGTGGGTGCTGGGATTTGAACCCGGGTCTTCAGCAAGAACAGCCAGTGTTCTTAACTGCTGAGCCATTCTCCAGCCCCTTTCCTTCAGTTTTTAAAAGTATTTTATTTATTATTTTTATTTCACATGTATAAGTGTATTGCCTGCATGTCAGTGCACCTGTGTCATACAGTGCCCAAGGATGTCATAAGAGGGTGTCAGAATCCCTGG